CAAGTAGTCCTTATTATTTTTTGTTTCAAAATAAGATATTTTTTGTTTTTGTACCCACTCAATACTTATTAATGATTTCTTTATGTTTTTCTCACGACATCTTACGTGTGACAGTCATTGATGAGGTGTTTGGGGTTATTGATGCGTATGTTCATCGTGATCTCGACTGTTTGGTTGCGTAGGTCTTGTGGTTTGACTTAGGTCTTGTGTTCTGAACGTCGTAACTTTTTCATACGATATCAGATTTTAACGATCTTAATATCCACGTGTTCGTTTTTTGAGTCTACTACAACTTTCGTTAAGATTACTCCCATTAAAATGTAGTATATTTTTACTTACGATTTTATAAAAAAATCCATACATGCATTTATAAAAAACGTATGGATATAAAGATCGTAAGTAAAAAATATATTATTTTTTAACAAGAGTAATCTAAACGTAAGTTGTAGTATACTAAAATACGATCGCGTGGATATAAAGAACATTAAAATCTGAGATCGTATGAAGAAGTTAATCATGACTATCAAATCGCATGACCTAAGCAACCAAATAGTCGAGATTGAGATGAATATAAGCATCAAAAGGCCCAAACACTTCATTAATGTTTTCCCCACGTATGATGTTATGAGAAAAGCCTAAAGAAATCATTCATAAGTATTGAATTAGTATAAAAAAAAGACTTATTTTGCAACAGAAAAATATTAAGGACTAAATGTGTATAAAAGTACTAAGGGTTAAATGTGTACAAAGTGAGAAATATGTTACCCTATTAAATTATTTTAACCGGCTAACCTGAAGTAACTGATCATAACGACCGAATGTGTATGATTTAACAAGTTGAATGGGTAAATGTGGACGAAAAAATAACTCAGTGACCAAATCTGTATAAATTGAAAAATATATTACATTTTTAAGTCATTATCCCATAATTTTATTGGGGAGATGTAACCGAATTTGTGACAAGGCTTTTCGAACCTTTGGTATCTCATCGGGAGTCTAAGTAGCTTGAGCTTTACTTAAAAAGGAATCTAATGCATCGTCGTAATCAAATAGAGCTAATAGGTCTCGGATCTTTACTTGCCAAAGTGAAAATCGAGTGTCACGATCCAAAAGTGGAAAATCGTATTTTATTGTAGCCATAGAGTAATCAGTTTGTTATAACGGCTTAATAAAACACAATTAAATTGGTTGGTATTTGGTTTTAATAAAATCGATCGTAGCCTGGAAATAATAAAATATATGTGGCTGAAAAATTGTTTTTAAGGAAAAAAAAAACCTTGTTATGGGACGTAAATAAAAACATGGTTTTAAGAGTATATTTGGGCTTAAAGGAAAACGTTAAAATAGACAATTTATATATATGAGCTTAAGAGAGAATTATATTAGGGTTTAATGAAAACTACGAGGGCTTCAAGAGGAAAGAATGTCCTCGACATGAATCATCACAAGAATTACATAACCAAGTAAGACAAATTAATTTTTGCTGGTGTATGAATCGTATCGAAAAAAGAAACGATGTCAAGAAAGTCGACAAGAAAGAATCATCGAAGTGACGATGAAGAAAAACACGATCACAAAACCAAGCAAGATAACTATCCAAAAAATCCTGATGCATATCACAATTGCCAAAACAAGGACGAAGAAGGATCTGCAGAAAACTGGATGAAGAACTTGATTTGTAACACAGGTATGTATTGATCTTCAAACTCTTTGATACCACTTGTTATAAACAAATTAAAAAAGATAACAGAATCGACCACCGAATTTATAGTGAAAACCCCATGAAATGGGAAAACCCAATTGAAGAACATTATATACTGATCTCTTTAATTGAAAGGGTTATAAATGCTAATGATTTGTCTAAAAATAGAAAAAAGAGATGATTTAAAAATATCATCTAACAAACATCCTATGTATAAGAGACTAGATAAGAATCCTAGTACAACTCTAAAACCTATGAATAGGAATCCCAAACAAAAAACGCAGCCTTAGGGAACAAAGCATATTTGTTTTTTGAGCATATTCAACACTATCTCATGCATCAACCTCTTATACATGTGTCATGGGAACCCATATCTCATGCATCAACCCATATACATAAACAATAGCTCCTATCAATTGCATGCATAAGTAATTGCTATCGATTATATACATCTACCCCCTTGTACATGAGATAGCGGTATAATTAAAGGACAACGTTCTTATGAACAGTGTCCTCTGTAAAAAAAATTCACTTCTTTTTTCTTTTTATCTGTTACCGTTCATCGGTATTCTACATCCTTCCATCGCTCCCATTTTTTTGCGGTGGAATTGCAGATTAGTTACCACCGCTCATCTTCCACTTTGCGTTACAGATGCCCACCGTTTTTCTCTTCGAAAGCCTTAGTCAATGGGTGTTAGGGTTCGATTTAGGTATTGGACTTAATCATGCTTCCATTGATGTCGACGATGTCGGTGGGTCGGTATGTATGCTTGGCTCGATTCTTCCAAAACCCACTGCTTCCAGAATAACCCAATGAACCTTACCTCTGCATTCGATTCAACGTAATATTACCTCCTTCACAATGCTTTGTTGATTTCAATTTTCCGATTAATCGATTCACTTATCGATGTCTGCTGTTATTTAGAGGTCGTTTCAATTTTGTTCTTCAGTGGATGATATTATTTACATTCTGGTCGACAATTAGCAACTTTAATTCTTTAATTATCATGTGTTTAAACGTTCATGTTTGCTTTTGCTCATCTCTCTTTGATTTCCCTCCTTTGCACATCCAACTTCGGGCGGAGGTTACAAGAGGTTCATAGAACACGCTACCAATATTTTCATGCAAATTGTTTGTTCAGGTATTATATAAAACTAAGATGCTTTCATTCTTCAGAAATTGTTTTAAGATTTTGTCAATGCTCTCCTTTTTTTCCATGGAAATGTTGCCTTTTTTTTTTTTTTTTTTTATAGAAAATGTTGTTATTTGTTTAAAAAATACATGCCAGATGGTTTTCTTTATTCTTTAAAAAGAATAGTCTTTACTTGCATGGCAACTGTTTGTGTTTATGCTTCATAGAGGATAGTGTTTATTTTATATATTGTTATTCACATCAATTATTTATCTATTTTATAATCTACCTAATAAATATACAAAAAAAAACTTCTTGCAACAGATATATATTCATCAAAAAATATAAACATCTATGTCAATGTTTTGACCAAGTAATATAACCATGCTACAAACTCACCTACATCAAAAGAGAAAACTGAAGAAGCATGCATTTTCTTTTCTCTCTCGAGTAAGATCAAACCATTCAAGTTGCAGTTTTTATATTGCAGAGAGTTTTTTTTTAAAGAGCTTAATATAACAACTAAAACTACCTAAAGAGCCTAAATTTGCAAATTATAAAAGTTTTTTTTACCTCACCTCCCAACTTATCACTTATTTCCTATTTGCCCTAAAAGATAAACACTGATTTCTTGTCATATCAATGACTTTTTACTTTTAAACATATTTGGTTATCAATCTTGCCTATATATATATATTTCTTTCCCTTTTGATAAGTTTATAATATTAATATTTTATTTATTACCAAGATCAATAACGCCTCATGTCATTGCCAATTATATAATTTAATCTGTAAACCTTATGTTACTTAATAATAACTATTCTTATGAATTATAAAAGATTTTTATTTTCATTTTATTGAAGGCTATTTTAGCATTTGACAGTGACACTTTTGTTGAAGTATGATATTCATGGATGCTTTACCACACATTAAAGCTTGGGTTGACCTTTACAAAGTTATATAGTCATCAGATGTTGCCATCCAGGTTAATCTTCTGCTACCAGAATGTTTATGTTTGTTGTTGTTATTATTTATTTATTTATTTATTTATTTATTTGTATCTTAGAAGTTAGAACCTGTAATTTTGTGTAATTCTCAACAACACTTCATATTATTGAATCATATTTTGATGATAAGTACTCGATACTAGGGATCCCCAAGGTACAAGATGTCATCATCTTTTGGGGTTGATTTTTTCAAAGCTGAGGTTCATTTACTTTATTTCATGTTGGGTTTATTTATTGATCGGTATTTTAAATTGTTTTTGTGTGTGTTCTCGTGTCATAATTTTGTAGATCACATGTTTTATTGAGGTGAAATAAGCAGGGAAGCGTCGTCTAATCAATGGAAGAGGTAACTAATCACAAGATTTGAACTTTTATGTTTTAAGTTTTAGTCTTTTTAGGGCTTATATTATTATCATTTGTTTTTCCAAGGATAGAGAGGAGAAGATTCAAGGCTAAACTAATTGAACCATATGTTCTTTTGGATGAATTCGGTTATCCTAAATGCCATGCTGCTTATAAGTTATAAGGTGAACACAATTGTCTCCTTTAATGATTTTATTTATTTATTTATTTATTTTTTACTTATTTTGTTTTCAATTTTCTTTTGTTTGAAGGAATTTGTGGAAGCACTATGGCATATCAGCAGAAGCTTAACATGTTAAAAATAGAGAGTTCTTTAAAATTTGATCGAGATTTGGAAGCAGTGTACGTTGGCATATCAGAGAAAGAAAACTAAGGCAAGTATAAAAACACTACTAGAAACTTGAGTTTCAGCTACGGATTTTGCTACAGATTTATTCTCTAGCAAAAATTTAGACTTATAGCTACGGAAATACGACAGATCTACCATGTTTTTAATAATTATTTTATTTATGTAATATATGAAATATTAGCGAGGATTTACCGAGGGATCAGCTACGGATCTGGCAACTATTTAACGATATATCACTATTCCTCGCTAATCACTCGAAAAATGAAGGCCCTTAGCTAGGGTTCAGCGAGGGATAACAAAATTGTGGCATATGTACGCGTTCAGCGAGAGAACGACGACAGAAAATTTATTTGGGGTGCGCACGTTTTCTTTTTTTTCTCTCGCTGAAATTGGCACCCAGTTCCATCTTCACGAAGCCAGTGAAACTTTCCTTCCCTCCAGCTTTATCACTCTTTACTAAGTGTAATTAGCTTCTGCTTTATCTCATCACCATCTCTGTTCGAACAGATGACGACGCCACTCACCCGATTCCGGCAAGCTCCATATCTTTAAATCTGAAAGTATTCTTCGTTAACCTCCGATTCAGGTAAATCTCATCCCTCTTAGGTTAGTTTTAGTTCAATTTCACAATATACTTTGTTAGGGTTTAATTTACCTTGAAACTTTCTGGTTATTGTGTTTCGTAGCCATATGGAATGCCTTCTTCATTATCTGCAAGGTAGTTTCAGGTCTACCATCGATTGCATCTATATAAAAATAAACACTTAGAATTAGAACTTGAGTTAGGGATTGATTCATCATAGTTTGTCTTCCAGTTCATGAGAATTTAAGGATTCAGGAATCCTTACGTTTTTAGGTTTTCCCTAATTCTCTTTCATATTTAGGAGGTGGCAACGTGAATTTGAGAAGAAACAGGTGACTTATCCTTCATTATAACAAAGGAGCTGTTCGTTTTCTTACTTAATGGGTACTTAATCTGGACACCTAATGACTGACTTAGTTTTCTTTTTGTGGTCTAGAATTGTATACATATCAATAAACCCCAAATGAATTGATACCCCAAATGAAACCTTCCACAACAATTCTGTGCTCATACATAGCTAGCAACTAAAATATATATATATATTGTAAGACGATGTCAGCAAAATAAATGAAGATTAGCAACAATAAAAATACTAAACCTGTCCAATTCTATAAGCATCCAATGATGGAAGCAGAAGGCTAAGGGAGGGCCTATTCCCAGTAAATGTCTGTCAACAAAAAAATGAAATTAGTATTTTTTTTTTTAATTTAAAAAAAAACAAATTTTAATATGAAGTAGGAAGTGACCTTGTGAGGAACAAGATGAGATGCAACATTCTCACTTCGCAATTGTTCAGGGGTCTGGAAAGATAATGTTAGTTGTGAATAATTAATATATTAAAAATGATTAGAAAAACTTATATTATTTAAAAGGTGAAAAGTAGAAAGTAGATTGATTACCTTTCCATAAGCAAGAGCATCAGGTTGTGCAAAAAAGTTTGACATGAGTTCATCATGGTTATTTACCACTTCATCTGAATACCAAAATTTCACATTATATATAAAAATATAAATAAAAATAAAAAAAGTGAAGTTATAACTTAAAACTACAGAGGAAAAGGATTGGTACCTCTAAGGTAGACAGGTTGTTGACTCTTGACAATACCAATGAAATCACAAGGAATAACACGCCCCTGAAGGGTAAATTAGACTTTTTATTAGCAGATAGATAGAAAAACAAAAAAGTTAGTTAGTTAGTTAGTTAGTTACCTGATGAATTAGTTGATAAAAACTATGTTGACCATTTGTTCCTGGCTCACCAAAATCAATTTCACCAGCTTCAAAAGGAAGGCTTACACCATCTATGGATACTCCTTTCCCATTACTCTCCATACTAACCTATAAAATTAAATTATAATAATAATAATAATAATAATTCAAATGTTTACAAAACTTAAATAATAATAATAAATATATACCTGTTGAATGTGTGGAGCAAGCTTCTCGAGAGCTTGAGTGTAGGGTAGAATAGCCTAGGGAAAATAATGTTAAATGAGGAATTTAACAAAGATTAAATTACCAAAATACCCTCTCAGGTGAATATAATACAACTCAAACTCACTCTTGCAGGATATCCAAGAAAAGAAACGTTCCATACACTCAACAAACCTAGAATTGTACAATTAATTCTACTGGTGACATATTCACCAAGAAGGTAATACTCGTCCTCCAGTATTCTTCCTTTCAGTTTCAGGTTTTGGATTTGAAGTGTTTGTGTGATACTCACACACCTTGTCAAACAATTCCAAATCCAAATCCTCATATGGTATTTCATAAAAATGGTCAACAGCTTCTACAAGTGGATCCGATTTTGGTTTTTCAAGTACCCTTTTCTTTGAACGTGCAGTGCTTGCAACAAAATCATCTTCATCTTCATAACCTAAATCCTCATTTGGGATTTTGTTTAATGTGTTTCTCCTTCTTTTAATTCGACTTCAACACTTGGAAGAGGGATAGGTCCTTCAAACAAGTTGACTTACATATAAGTAAAAATAACACTTTTTTTTTGAAAAAAAAAACATTAATAATCGGCCTTATTTTTATGACTTTGTGTATTAAGTACAAAAGAAAAGTCATTTTTATCTTATTAAAACTTGACTATGGTTTTTAATTTTTAATTTTTATACAGAATGTGAAGGCTGTTTTTGATGCAGCCATTAAAGTGGTTCTGCAACATTTTTTTGTTTTTGCTGTTACAAACTTGTCCAAAGTCCAATCTACTTGATATTTGGCACAACACAACATTTTTTTGTTTAAAGGAATATTAGCCAAGTTGATTTCAGATAGGTCCGGATTCATGTAAGTGTTTCCTTTCCTTGGTTTCTACAAGACCTTGCTAGAGAAAGAAATGTGATCCCATTAGAGAAACATGGATACCTATAGGAACTTTGTATACTAATTCCTTTCTCTAATAATCTATTTTTGATGCTGAATGTTACCGAACAACTATGTGCCCCAAACACAGAAGAAAATAAAGATACATAAAGTTGTCGTTATATGCTTTATTTAGACTCCATGGATTTCACATATATGTAAATATTTCTCCTTGGAAACCATATTAGGAGTGAAGGGCATGTCTTTGTATAACAACAACATATGAACACATGACATTATTGGGATTCAATATGTTTTAGAGGCAATAAAGGTCAAACATTATGTTTGATGTCTTTGTAGTGGGAAATTTTGAAATTATACTGATAACATGGCTACATTTTATGGAAGCCACTTTTCTGTTTTTTAGGGAGAAATTAATCCAGTAGAGCTACATTATAATATGTTTACCAGCCTCTATCCCTTGTGACAAAAAATCGATAGGTAACAAACAACCATCTAACCCATGCAGCGCATGGGATACTACACTAGTTAGTATAAAAAAACCTAACCCATTTAATCCGACCCAACCCTAACCCGAATAATGTAACTAATGCCAGGTTTAATCGGGTTAGAATTGTTGACTGGATTATTCAAGTTAACTCGACAAACCCGAATTAAAATTAGAATCGGGTTTAGAGTTGACTTTCATAGACAAATTAGGTTTCAGCTCAACCCGAATAACTCGATTAAGAATTTATTATCATTTTTTTCTACATTAAACGAAATGATTTCAAAATCACATTCAGTGTTTTAAAAATCGATTTTTTAGTTAGTTGAACCGGTATGGTGACGAGTTCCCGGTTCACCCTGGAGCACCTGTCTTATTTGTGAAGAAGAAAGATGGATCGTCTAGAATGTGTATTGCCTATCACGAACTAAACAAGGTAACCATCAAGAACCGGTACCTGCTTCCTAGGATTGATGACTTGTTTGACCAAATACAGGGACCCAACCTACTTCTCAAATATCAATTTAAGATCGGGGTACCACCAACTTAGAGTTCAGGAAGAAGATATACTGAAGATGGCGTTCAAAACTCAATTTGGTCATGACGAGTTTGTAGTAATGCCATTCGGATTGACCAATGCTCCAACAGTATTCATGGACCTCATGAATCGCATATGCAAACCTTACCTAGACAAATTCGTGATCGTATTCATCGATGATATATTTATATACTCACGAAGTGAGGAGGAGAATAGGCCACACTGGCGATCAATACTAGAATTACTACGAAAAGAGAAAGTTTACGCAAATTTCTCAAAGTGCGAGTTCTAGTTACGAAAGGTAGATGAAAGAACCACTAGTTCTCCAATACCTTTACTATATTATTACTCCAAACATGCTACGTGCATATTCATAATATAATTTACAAAAGTCTGGATACTTAACAAAAGACTGGATACAAATCAACTTACAGAGTTTTCTATATTACATAATTTCCTAGGAATTTATACACTAAGTAAAATAGTGGTAATATTAAATATTCTACATCTTCTTACAGTACATGACTATATTGGATGCTTATCACCTACAATAGTTAAATACTGAGAGGGATAAGTGGGTTACACTTAATGAGTTCAATAACAGTTACAATATAATGCTATGTCATATATATATATATATATATATATATATATATATATATATATATATATATATATATATATATGTGATAGAAACAAAGAGGGACAAAGAACAACAAAGGCAGATGAGTATCATATGACATACTTTCCATATCAACCAATAATCTGATTCAAAGATTTACAATCATTGAAATACAACAATTTCAGCATGATGTAAATCAATAAGACTTCAACCCAAGTAGCATAGAAAATACAATTTTGAATTATCATTTTGCTAGAATATACAAGCTTTTAGCCCTACCTAGTATTTTGCCAATACCAAAGTGATACGAGTTATTCTCTACATGGCCAAAGGCACAAAGCTAATACCAAAGTGATACGAGACATGCTTTACATGGTCAAAGGTTTCATACCAGTACCAAAGTGATACGAGTCATTATCTACATGGCCAAAGGCATAAAGCCAATACCAAAGTGATACAAGACATGCTCTACATGTACAAAGGTATAGCTCCATTATCATAATACTCGTGTATGCCTCGCGTACTAATTCACCACCTTTTCTCATAAAGGGACAAAAATGGTCAAATACTCAAAATACCAAGGGTTACGAGGTATACCTTATCTCGGGATGTTACATGAATGACACTTTCGAAGTTATAGTTTAAGGGGATTTGTTTCATATTCAAACCATAGTCACGAAGTTGGTTTTGAATCCAAATGACTTGTGAAGTGCATGAGGTTGCAGCTATGTACTCTGCTTTAGCAGTTGAGATGGATACGCAAGTTTGCTTTTTTGACTGCCAACTCACGAGCTTGCCATCCAAGAATTAGCATCCTCCGATGATACTCTTACTATCCAAGCCACACCCTCCAAGATTAACATCCGAAAACGCTTGTATGAAGAAACCTGAGTTTGATGGATACCATATACCCAGTGATGAGGTTCGTTTTAAGTACCTGAAAATATTCTTGACGGCTACCATGTGGGGTTCGCGAGGATTTGCTTGGAACCTAGCACAATAACAATCGGAAACATAATTTATGGTCGACTAGCTGTTAAATACATCAATAAGCCTATTATCTTACGATAAAGGGTCATATCAACAACTGGTTTTTCCAGAGATGGTGTTAGTTTTATTCTGAATGTCATTGGAAGCTTCTTTTTTTAGTCTCCCACCATTCTAAACTTAACAAGCAAGGTCTTTGTGTATGCCTCCTGATTGATAAATATACCTTTCTGCTCTGTCTTATGTTTAATCCCAGGAAAAATTTAATTGGACCTATTGAGCTCATCTCAAATTTTGTTTCCATTAGCTTTTGGAATTCAGCCGTTAAGTTGGGGTTAGTTGATCAGAAGGTAATGTCATCAACATATATTTAGACAATCATTAAGTGGTCACCCTCTTTCTTATGAAAGAAAGTTGGGTCAACCGAACCTTGTTTAAATTTAGACATTTTCAAGAAATGAGTTAAAGTTTCGTATTAGGCTCTTGGAGCGTTTTTCAAACCATAGACTGCTTTATCCAAAATATAGCAATGGTTGGGATACTCTCGTTTATAAATCCTAGTGTTTTCTCCACATAAACAATCTCCTCTAGCTCCCAATTCAAAACGGCACATTTGACGTCCATTTGATAAACTTCAAAATTCTTATGTGCTTCGTAAGCCAGAAAGATGTGAACAGATTCTAGCCTAGCAACAGGTGTGAAGGTCTGTTCGTAATCAATGCCTTCCTCTTGACAGTACCCCTTTACAACCAATCACACTTTGTTTCGTATAACGCTTTCTTCTTTATCAAGCTTGTTGCGAAACACCCATTTTAACCCAACAACGGATGCATCCTTTGGAGAAGGAATCAATCTCCAGATTTTGTTTCGTTCAAATTCATTGAGCTCCTCCTGCTTTTCTTGGATCCAATCCGAATGATCCAGAGCAATCTGAACATTTTTGGGTTCGACTTTAGAGATGAACGAATTGAACATGCAATATTCTACTTTGGAGAGTAAAGCAGTTTGTTTACCCTTTTTTGTGCTCTTGTTAGAACTCCCAAAGACGATTTGCCTATAACCTGAGTTTTTGGATGATCTCTTATCCATTTAGTCAGATGAGGATAATTAGGATCACACGATGGATCCAATCAGCATTTACGTCCTCAAATTCTTACTGTATATATCTAAATCATCAATCTATGCATCAAAATCATCATATGTATTATCTTTCTCCCCCTTGAATGATGTGAATGTTTCTTCTTCAGCTGTCAGATTCTCCCCCTGGAGTGGACTTTTGTGGGTATGTTGTGGAGTTGAGTGCCCCCCCTGAAAATTTGCATTGGAGGTTGATTCAGAATTCTTCCCCTGGATTGTAAAGTTCGTGCCATGTGGGCCATTTGCACTTGGTTGCTCTTTGTTCATAGCATTCGATGCGTCGTCAATCATCTTCTTCAATTCATCGACCTTGTTATCAACAGCTTTAGATTCGGAAGAGATAGCCTTCTCTGGCTCATCGAATAGTAGCATGAATTCTTCATAGAGATTGGCTATTGGAATCGTAGATGGGCTTGGTTCAGGAAACATCTCATTTGTTGACTGTCATTAGCTTGAGTCCTCTTTAAGCACTTGTCATCGAACGTCACATAATAGGTTTCTTCTATTCGTTTTGATCGTTTGTTAAGAACCCTATATGCTTTATAGGTCATCGAATATCCCAAGAAGATACCTTCATCACCTTTCGCATAGAATTTGTTGCTTTGTTCGTTAGAATTAAAGATGAAGCACCTGGAACCAAAAACATGGAAAAACTTT